CATCCATCCATCCATCCATCCATTCATTAATCCATCATCCATCCATCCATCCATCCATCCACTCAACAAATGGGCATGGGAACTCACAAGGAGATGGCAGTCTTTATGAATGAAAGAGGCTGTTTGATTGGCTCCGCACGGGACTGTATTTTAAGCATTGCCAATGAGCCCCTTTAAAAGAGTGATTCATAAAAAAGCCTGGAACATTCTGGGACTATTAGTGCCGTGTGCGCACTGCGAGGAGATGTGAGGGTTTTAAATGGAGCGGGTGATAACAAGGCCCCGGGGCCCCGAGCCTGCAGAGAGCTTGCCGCCTAACGAGCTCCGAGCTGCAAGCCCTGTAATCAGGGAGACAGCTTTGATGAGCCGGGGGGCTCCCATCCCTCTGCCTTTATTTCCCCCGTAAGTGATTTCCCAGCGCGTCCTCACGTCGCGAAGCCCATACTTCACACGCGACGCTTCCCCGCGCTGGTTTCAGCGCCTCTGGGTACCCCGCGTCAGCGCCGAATTTGCTTGATTTCTGTCTGACGCTTATGGGGTCTGACAGGTTTTATTTCAGGAGGGATTTTGTGTAAAATAAACAGCAGGATTAGATGACAGCAGCTTGAGATGGATTCTACCGGGAAGGCAGCCAGAAAGAGTGCCTCCTTCTCGTTACATGTACCTACTCGTACGGGGGCCAGGGACCAGGCTCCGATACCACAGGACTGCCCTCTGCCCGGTGGGCACTGACCTGCTTACAGTGGACACTCACTGGGCCTGGTGGGCCCTCTGTCCACCGTGTCCACCTCTGTCCACTGTGTCCACCTCTGTCCACCTCTGTCCACCGGCTGTGTGTCTACCACCCCTGCAGCCCACAGTGCCCTCGCCCCGGTGGGGACAGTAACCCAACAGGAGCTGACACTGCAGGCCCAGCCCTCGTGTTCCTAGGACATTTCCATTCATGTGCCTGTGTGGTCTCCTCCCACTGGAGGGAATGAGCATCGATGGGGTGCGCCGTGGGGAACACACTAAATGCGGGAGAATGGGAGTGAGGCGCCCACACCCGACACAGGGCCAGGCAGGGAGAGGGGGGCACAGGGTCCGGTAGGAGGACACAGCCTGGGAAGGGCTGGCTCCTTCCGCTCTGGGAGCTCCAGGGGCCCCGAGAGACGTCTCCAGGGGGGCACCGTGCTGGGAGGTGCAGGCTGACTGGTCGCAGGACCAAGGCTTTTCGGGATGGCATTGCGTGCCCTGGCCAGTGTTGCTCAGTGGATGGAGCATCGGCCTGTGGATTGAAGGGTCCTGGGTTCAAGTCCTTTCAAGGGCACATGCCTGGGTTGCAGGCTTGATCCCCAGTAGGGGGCGTGCAGGAGGCAGCCGACCAATGATTCTCTCTTATCATTGATGTTTCTATCTCTCTCTCCCTCTCTCTTCCTCCCTGAAATCAATAAAAATACATAAAATAAAAATAAAAACATATTTTTTAAAAATATATATTTTATTGATTTTTTACAGAGAGGAAGGGAGAGGGATAGAGAGTCAGAAACATCGATGAGAGAGAAACATCGATCAGCTGCCTCCTGTGCACCCCTCACTGGGGATGTGCCCGCAACCAAGGCACATGCCCTTGACCGGAATCAAACCTGGGACTCTTCAGTCCGCAGGCCGACGCTCTATCCACTGAGCCAAACCGGTCAGGGCATAAAAACATATATTTTTTTAAAAGATGGCATTTTGTGGTGAGGGGCGAGGGCAGGGGCAGACCATGTGGAAGCTCACGTGCAGAATGAATGGCGCATCGACCCGGGGAAGCGGTTAGAGGTGACTTCTTCATCTCCGCCCACGTGTACGGACGCTGTGGGGAGCCCATCCCAGACCCTGCCTGTCAGAACCATCAACGGGGCTTCCAAAGAGGACGTGCGCATCTGCAGGGGCTGGGGCTCCCCACGGCCGCCCCGAGTCTCTCTGGACTCACGGGGCTGGGGGTCCACGTTAGACAAGAGCTGCCCGAACCCCCGCTTTCTCTCCCCAGCCAGCGATGGCGATTACTGGCGCCTCCTGAACCCCGGCGAGTACGTGGTCACGGCCAAGGCAGACGGCTTCAGCGCGTCCACCAAGAACTGCATGGTCGGCTATGACATGGGCGCCACGCGGTGCGACTTCACGCTCAGCAGAACCAACCTGGCCCGGATCCGGGAGATCATGGAGACGTTCCGGCGGCGGCCCGGCAGCCTGCGTGCCCGGCAGCCCAGGCTCCGGGGGCGCAAGAGGCGGCAGCGCGGGTGACCTCCCGGCACTGAGCCGAGGCCCAGACCCCGCTGAGGACACCCCGGGGCCGTGGCTCCGTAGAGGACCCGCTGCCTGTAGGCTCTGTCGCTCCCGGAGGCTGGGAGGACGCACGCGTGCCCAGCAAGCCTGGTCCCCAGGGCAGGCCCGCGGCTCGGGGTCTCCTTTCCTTCGTTCCCACGTATCCAAATAGCTTGGAAAGCGCAGCGGAGAAAGGCTGGCGGGGTGTGGGCTCGGCCAGCCAAGCAGGATCAGGGAGTGAGGGGCTAGCCTGCCCGGGGCTCCTGGCTGCTCGGTGGGAGCCCAGCGCTTCCCCTGCTTGCGTGACAGGAGCCCCTGCGTGTGTGCCATGTGCCCGGCTGAAACCGCTGGCCCCGGGGCCCTGCTGTCCCAGGTGTCACCCTTCCTGTGGCTGGAGGCCTCTGCGTCAGTTTTGCTTCTCTCTCATCAGCGGGAGAAAGGCTGGAATAATTCCAGGGGAAGCCTGGGCAGCAGGCGTGCCCGGGGGCTGGTTGCATGCAGACGGGGCTTACAGAGAACCCCCAAGTTTCCCCCTGGTCCGGCAGCCCGAGGGGCTCCCTGCTGGTGACAGGAGGAGGTGCTTCCCACGAAACCACATCTCCTCCGGCTCCTCTGTGAGCCGCTGGGACTTGGAAAGAGATGCCGGGCTGACCTGCGACCTCCCTCTGCCCCAGACCCCCTCCTCCGTGGAGGCGCGCTCCTAACCTGCCCCACACGCAGGGGTTCGCTGTGGACACTCGCTCAGGATTGTCCGCGGAGCCTCGTTCAGGAGGGTATTGGAATGACCACGTGAGAAATCGCGTCTCGTTATTACTGTTGCTGCCTTGCTGACCCAGGGGAGTGAGGAAATAAAGAAAGCAAACGGGGAGAGGCCTCCATGTGGTTTTCCTGGGGAGCCTCGCGGCCATGCCCAGCGGACTGGCCGGAGCGCCGGGTTCCCCGCAGCCTGACTGCGCTGAGCTGGGCCACCGGGCCCTGCGAGCTCTTCCTCCTGCGGCCTGTCCCCTGCCACACACACAGCCCCACGGCCATGGCCACACACATACACAGCGCCACGGCCATGGCCACACACACAGCCCCACGGCCACGACCACATACACAGCGCCACGGCCATGGCACCAGGAGTCCAGGGGAATTAGGAAAAAGAAATTGGGGGTGGAGGGCGAGTATTCGGTGCCGTTGCGGGTGGACAGACGAGCAAGGCAGGTCTTTAGGTCAGTGAGTCCAGGCTGGCCGCCGGGCTCTCTCTTTCAGGCCGACTCGGGCTCATCGGGGGTAGTTGCTTGGAGCTCTGTGTTCAGAAGGGTTCTGAGGCAGGGTCCTGGCTGGGGGTGGGGTGGTTGGAGAACGCTGTGTGTGCTGCGGGGATGGGCAGGAAGGGCTGACAGCTGGTTGCCTCGAGTTTTCTATCCTTGAACTAGTTTGGTCCCCCGGGATGTGGAGATAGGGGGCCCACGGAGGGGCAGTGTCCAAAGTCGGGTTGTGCCACTTGTAGGGCGGTCATTTTTCCCTGGTGACCGTGGGTGTGTGGGGCGGGGGGGAGGACGGGAGGACAGGGGACTGCCAGCTGCATTGGGAAGGCGAACCAGCGTTCACAGCAGGCCAGAGAGGGAGAGCCATGGCGCGGAGACACAGGCGTGTCTGTGAGGAGCTGTGGGAGGACCCCCCCCCCCCCCCCCCCCTCCCCTGGTTAGACAGGGAGAAAGGCAGGCAGGAAAGGCGGGGAGGACGAAGAGGGCAGCATGGTGCTGGGCAGTGCTGGCCTGGGGTTCGAGCAGTTCCCTGTGGGCGCTGCAGGCCCGGGAACATGCAATGTTGCAAGAATACACGGGAGTGAGCCCGCTCCTCGCTGGGAAGGAACGGGGCCAGGTCAGCGAGTCTAAAAACACGGACGCCGAGAGCCTTCCTGCTCACAAGCAGAGCGGGAGATGTTTATGCTGTAGAAGGAGGACAAACGGGCTTTTTAAAACGTCGGAAGCTGTAGGCGGCTCCAGGGTTTCGTTGCAAACCCATCTGGCAGGTCTGGTGCCTTCGCACGCACTTTCCTGGCATTCGCTCGCCCAGCGGGGGCCCCCAGGGCCTCAGCGGAGCTGGGGGTCGGGGAGGCGCATTGATCCCACCGTCCTGGTGGGAAGGGAGGCTGGGCCGGCGCCGACTTGCCCGCCTGCTTTTCTGATTATGGAGACGCAGGGATCTGGGGGATCGAGTTTAGTGAAAGGGTTTAGACCGAGAGACTGTGGGGTGAGCGTGTGGAGCAGGAGGATGGCCACGTGGGATGCGTTGTCGACCTGAGGCCTTGGTGTGGGGTCCCTGAACTCAAGTCTGAGACAGGGCCTCGGTGCAGGGGGCTTATGGGGGGGGGGGGGGGGTCCCAGGAAGAAGAGGAAGGCAGCGGCCTGGATGCTGCGGCGAAGTCACTGCGGTCAGGTCGCTGTGGTGAGGTCGCTGAGTTGGGCCGTGGCAGCTCAGGCCCGGGGAACTCTGGGAAGAGTGGACGCTCGTGCTGTGGTCCTCGTGGGGGAAGGAGGCGGAGCTGGGGTGAGGCCTGGGGGGCTCTGGGGGTCAGGGCAGGG